CTTGAAACGATAAATATATATTAAAAAACTTAAAAAAAAGGTACAACCGAGATGTCAAAGGACACCACAAAAGTCAAAACAAAGTCTAGATCTAACCTTCCTCGGAATTACACTAGGGACCAAGGGTACAAACACCCGCAAAACAAAAGAACTTCATCAAAGAAACAAAATAACTCCAAACGGAAGACTAAAACCAGACGCAGTTGGACTGAAAATAAAAAACTAGAAAAAAACACACAAACTACAACACACCTAAACAATACAATAAAGTCCTCCTCACTTCCAACCAACAACTCCCGAACCTCCCCCGTAAAGACAATAACCAAAGACAGATCAGGCTCCGACATAGATATAGAAACTCCCAACTCCACAAGTCTAAGGCTAAGGCTAAGTAGACTAGTGACAACAAACCAAAATCTCCTTCGAAAATGACCCCCCACCGGAAACTGCTCCGAAGCCCAACAATTGTCACCTCCCATGGCAAAACTTCGGAAGCCACAACCCAAACACGCGAGACGAAAGAGCCTTGCCGAAGGTGTTAGTGTTATATACTGAAAGCTTGGCTTTGCATGTTATTACACATTTACCCTTTATGAATGAGAATCATGTTAGATTAAACAAGTTCTATGTTCTGTTGTTCTGCACTTAGATAGGGTGGGTCGTCATCGGGCGAACCGAAGATCACTCTGTCGGTTACTTGCGAACAAGAATAGTTGTTCACAACCTAGATGGACATGAACACCTCATCCGAACGGTTGTAGTGTCAACTGTACAGTTTGTCTTGACTAATTAGTTGCACTAGTGCATTTATGTATTGAACAGGATCTCAGAGAGGAGAAGTTCATTTTATACTGATCGCCGTAAATGAACTAGGCCTCGGTTAATTACTGCGTTCTCTTAACCCGTAAGATATTAAACAGGCATATATATATAATATATATTACTTTGATTCACATGGGTGAGGTTCAGTTCGCTGGATTAATATTCCTACTGTTTTGGGTAATATTATTATATATAGGATGTGCTGTTAGGATATTTACGGTCACCATGTGCGTTAGTTTGATGATGTCCCCGGAGTGAGTTCATGAAGGATTGTTATGCTAAACCCTGCAGGTGGATTAAATTCCGGCATAATAAGAATGTGATGAACGAGCGCTAGCTTCGGTGAAATAATAATAAATTAATTAATTCTTGATTGTCAGTAATCGAATTAATTAATGGACATTATATCTTAAACGTGGGGAGGTAAATCGAGTAATTATTATTGGAGTCTCAAATGTAATTTGGGCTAGGGAAAGGGAGTGCAATAATATAATGTTGGTGGCCCATTAATATTATTTAATTAATTAGAGGAGTGGGTTTGGCCCACAGTTAGTCTAATTAATTAAGGAGCCCTTTTCCTAATCTCCTTAGGGTCCCTACTGTAGCTCTATATATACATCATTAAGCTCATGAGAAGAGAATAGAATTCATTCTCACGTGAAACACGCCTCTCTCTCTAGATCTCATTCGAGCTTTATCTTCTTCTTGTTGCTCCACTGGTACAAGTTGAAGAAGGGTGTATTGAGTAATACAGTAGAAGATCTGTAGGTAAACCGAGACGAAATTGATTTTGACCTACAGAACTAACCGGAAGTCCGATTGAGACGTACAGTATACCCAGACGACCGTCTCGACGAGAGCTTTCCATCGCCGCCGACGTCGCCGGAATCCGACGCCGCACGCGCCCTCACGCGCCGCCGGAAGGTGTCTGGCAGCAAAATTTCGTTTTGATCTGTTTGCATCCGTTTGATCCAGTTTTGATCTGATCTTGTTCGTGCAACCCAAGACGCGTGTTGCGGTCAATCAATTGCGGTCAACCGTTCGTGGTCAACCAGATCTACATAAATTTTAAGCCGTAAGTTCTCTACGTCAAACCTTTAGATCCGCTGCGCATAGGTTTACGTTTGCTATTGAATTCGTGATTTGTACATAACGAGATCCTCACAGATCCCAACAAGTGGTATCAGAGCACTTGGTTAATTCGTTTTGTACAAAGTTCGAATTTTTACGGCTTTATTTGACAAGATGTGTTCAAACGCAGCCATATATTGGATTATATTTGCATAACTCGGTTTTGCAGGAAAATAGTTAATCCACTATTATGGCCGATTATGTGTTTGATGAATGTTGTTGAATGTGATGTATGGTTTTAAATTTGTTTTTAAAGCCTCGGGCATGTCGAGGAATTTATGGATGAATGTTTGTAATAATTATTCGCCCGGGGGTTGACCGGATAGATTTAATTATTTGTTTAGAAAACATGTACATCCATTCGTTGGATCTAGGATCGAATTATGTAATTTTGTAAATTATATTTTTCGTGTTGTGATCGTGTGTTGATAACCGGGAGATCACAAGAGATCAACGAGCCTCGAAGAATAAAAAAAAAAAAAGGGAAACGGCGCGTTTTTCCGACCACTGGCGGCGGCGGCCGGCGGCCGGGCGGCAGCCAGGCGGCAGTCGGCGGTTGGCTGCAGGAGGTGGAGAGGTTTTGCCTTCTTGTCCAAGCAGTACAAGATCAACCAGGATTCTACTGCTTAAAGGAGTTCCAGTTGAACAGGGAAAAGAACTGTCACAGTTTCCTTGTTTAAGGAGACTCAATATTTAATGGCCATAATAGTGGATTTATTTATTTATTTAATTAAATTTATTATGCCATTAAATTATTATTTATGCATGTTAATTAATTATGTTCTTGCATGGGATTAATTTAGTATTGCTAGATTAATTATGCATGTTAATTAATTATGTAATGCATAGAATTAATTTAGAATTGTGTCAATAAATTATGCATGTAATTAATTATTGCACTGGCATGGATTAATTTAGAATTGCATAAATTATTGAACATGTTAATTAATTATTGCATTGACATAGATTAATTTAGAATTGCATGAATTAATATGCATGTTAATTAATTATTGCATTAACATAGATTAATTTGGAATTGTATAAATAGTTAAAAATCCTCATTAAATTATACTAAGTTTGAGAAGGGATTTTAAATTAAAGTTAATTGTAAAATTCCTAAGGCCTCCATTTCTAATTTGTCGGTAAATCAATTAATTGCGGTTATGGGCTCCCCCTCGGGTGACATTGCTAAAATTAATTGTAGGAAATTACCAGGACAAATTTCTAAAAGTAGACGGTTAGAGGAAATCTTATGAGAGCGTACGGGCTTCCCCTCGGATGACGTATAATCAAATTTGACGACCTTAGGACCGAGAAATGGGATTCACTTAGAATGCGATTAAATTTATTAACCCCCCTCGGGGTCCCTGAATTCTATTGCATGGCCAAATGGAGACCGACTATTAATTTCGTTCGTCATGAATTTGGTTTTGACTTATGGAAATTAATGGGCCTTAGAAAAGCCCTTCTCTTACAAAATGCGAGTTTGTAGGGCGACCCTCGTAGCATGCATTCTCACAAGGTGTAATAGATGTCGGTGGATTTAAGTTAATGTTGTTTTGAGGATATCAATATTAACAGTTAAATTCAAAAGTGTTTAATCTGTAAAATTTATTTGCATGATTCTCAGGATATTCATCATGTCGTTCAATCCGTTGTCTGTCATTCTAAAAGAAAATCAGCTTACTGGTCCTAATTACATTGATTGGAAGAGGAACTTAGACATAGTGTTGACTGCTGAGGGTTATAAGTTTGCTATCACTGATGCTTGTCCGGCGGTGCCGGCGGCTGATGCTCCTGAGCAGGAGAAAGAGGAGTATGCTCGGTGGAAGAAGGCTGATGAGATGGCGAAGTGTTACATTCTGGCTTCTATGTCGAATGTTCTTCAACATCAGCATCAGTCTAAGGACACTGCAGCAGATATACTTCTCAATCTCAGGGATCTGTTCGGACATCAGTCTAGGGCTGCTAGGCAAGAGGCTTTGAGTGCTCTGATGAGTACGCGCATGGCCGAGGGCACACCCGTAAGGGAGCACGCCCTCAGGGTTATGGCGCAGCTCAATGAGCTTGAGGTTATGGGAGGTTATATTGACGGGGAAACCCAGGTTGATATTATGCTCCAATCTCTGCCGAAGAGCTTTGATCAGTTCCGGTTGAACTACAACATGCACAAGATGCATATGGCTCTTCCAGAACTGCTTGCAGAGCTTCAGTCGGCGGAGGCCTTATTCACTCAAGCACCTCAGGTGCTAGTCGCCGAGCAGGCTGGACCTTCCAGGCCTCACAAGGGCAGGAAGAGAAAGAAGTCTGCAGGAAAGGCGAAGGCACAGGATGCTCCGGTTTACCCACGACCGACCCCTCAGGCTGTGGCAAAGAAACCGAAAGGAAGATGCCACAAGTGCAATAAGTCAGGACACTGGAAGGTCGATTGCCCTCTCCTCAAGAAAGGTAACTCTCTCGTTAATGTCGTAGAAACATGTTTAGCGGTTGTATCTACCAGAACCTGGTGTGTAGATACTGGAGCCACTGATCATGTCTGCAATTCTTTGCAGGGGTTCCAGGAAACCAAGCGACTTAGAGAGGGAGAGATCACCGTCTACATGGGCAATGCTACGAAAGTGGCGGCTGTTGCAGTGGGAGACGTTACTTTATCGTTTGATAGTAGTAGTTTGGTTTTGAGAAATTGCCTTTATGTTCCTAGCTTTAGAAAGAACCTTGTTTCAGTTTCTAAACTTGTTATGGATGATTTTTCAGTTTCGTTTGATGACATGGTTATTATTCGTTTTGAAAATCGTTTCATATGTTGTGGTTCATTAGTTGGCAATTTATATGTTTTCAAACCGAACTCTCCCACAGTGCAACATAATGAATTGAATAATGCCATAACTACATCTAATAAGAGGAAGGAGTCTTCGCAGATGAATCAAGCATATCTGTGGCACCTTAGACTTGGGCACATCAACCTTAGGAGGATTCAAAAGTTAGTGGCCAGTGGACATCTCGGTCCATTGGAAGAGCACTATCCAACTTGCGAATCCTGTCTGGAAGGCAAGATGGCCAAGAGGCCATTTACGGCAAAGGGGTATAGGAGCCAAGAAGTGCTAGGATTGATTCATTCTGATTTGTGTGGTCCTATGTCGATCCAGGCTAGAGGAGGTTTCGAGTACTATGTGTCTTTCATAGATGATTACTCGACTCATTTGACTTATTACTTATGGCAATTGTTTAAAAAAATCCGAAATTCTGTTCGCTTTTCACAATTTGGTTAGATTTGTGCGTTTTATTTTTGGTTAATATGTATGCAAAATCATTCCATATTTTGCGTAAAATTTGTTGCGTTTTCAAGCGTGATAATATTGTTTGAAGATTATAATACACATCTTATCTCAAACTTATGGCAACATTCCTTATTTTATGCAATATAAAATTTGATCACGCAAATTTGAAAGAGATTCAATATCACATAACTACATTTATCTGATTTTTTGTGGTAATTTAATTGAAACAAACAGATGGGTCCACATATTTTACGTAATATTTAGGAAACATGCAATTTCGAAATGGCGCACGATGAATATTTATTTTATAAAAGTTAAACGGGTCAAACTTATATGAATATTTATTTTATATCTACTATATATATTCACCAATCTTTGCATAATTTCCGGTATCACCACAATATTTATTTTATATCTACTGTATACATAAAATTAGCGTGGAATATGGACTGATTAATGTTTTGTATGTTGTGTTACATATTATTCACGTATATAATAGTGTGAAGTATTGCCTAATTAATATATATTATTTACGCATATAATTACTAATTGTTTCACATATAACTTTAATAAATAATTTATAAAGAATAAGATTTATAAAAAAAAGAATAAGATTTATAAAGAATTTTCCGCCAACAAACATTAAATATCTACTAAATGTTAGATATAAAACCCCATTTTATTTGGTATATAATATTTTGGAATGCATTAATCTTGATTTGTATTTGTAAAATTGATAAATCTGTATGGATGCAGTAAGGATTAAAAAAAATATTTTTTAAAATATTTTGTATTCAACTTTAAACATCTCATAATTCGTCATAATTCTCGACATCATCTCAATATTTATTTTATATAATTTTAAACATGTTGTTTAGGCAATTTTTTAACACATTCTATCTATGAGAAATGCTCACATGCCCACGGTGGGCACATGTTAATGTCCACCAACTTATGTGGCATGCACACATTAGTGATGTATTTTTTTTAACATGTTAATATCACCAATGTGCATGCCACATCAGCGGTGGACATATTAACATGTGCCCACCGTGGGCATGTGAGCATTTCCCTTCTATCTATATATATTAGTGTTTTAAAACGCGTATAGCGTACTGCGTCTCGTTTTGGTTTTTTATACTGCGCAGCGTAAATAGCGTTGCGTGTTTCGTAAGCTATTCGAGCAATTGGCCAAAAATAATAATGTATATAGTCATAAAAGCAAATAAATAATTGAAATGGTCTTAACCATATTATCACCAATGTGCATGCCACATCAGCGGTGGACATATTAACATGTGCCCACCGTGGGCATGTGAGCATTTCCCTTCTATCTATATATATTAGTGTTTTAAAACGCGTATAGCGTACTGCGTCTCGTTTTGGTTTTTATACTGCGCAGCGTAAATAGCGTTGCGTGTTTCGTAAGCTATTCGAGCAATTGGCCAAAAATAATAACGTATATAGTCATAAAAGCAAATAAATAATTGAAATGGTCTTAACCATAAACTTGGTCATAATAGTAATTGCATATTTCACTGTAATCATCAAACAGTAATCACAACAGTAATCATGTAACATTTTTATACACAAACCATGTAACATTTTTATACATAATATTCTTGACGCAATGATTAAAAACCATGTGACTGGAGATTGAAATTAACCCTTTTATACATTAACCGAATGAAAAGTTTGAAAAAAAAAGACTGAGGCATAAATACTTTCGGTCATCCAAATTTATACTTGTTTGAATGCTGTAAAACAAGGTCTAGATGCTCCAAGTTAAAGCATAATAATTGTAACTTGCTTTCTATCCTCAAAACACAGCTAAGAAATAGGCAAATACACATCAAAGAAATTCAATCCTCAAAACAGCAAGAATCAGTCAATCATTTATATCTCACTCTATTAATTTAATAAATAATCATGCCAATTAATCAGAAAACCTAAATCATCAAGTGAATGAAGAAGAGGCCCGATTTCAATTTGAAGTTCTGATGAAGCTATTCATAATCTCCAATGGAAAACAAAATATTACCTTTGAAGTCGAGAACCGAGGAGCAGGTGATGTAGGGTAGCGAGAGCCGAGCAGCAGGGACTTGGGAGTGGCGATATGCGAGAGGCGAGATGTGAGAAGCAGTTTGGTTGTGAGGAGACTGAGGTGGAGCCGTGGAGGTGGCGGAGTTACTACTCTCGCCGGGATGTGGTGGAGCCGTGGAGGTTGCAGTGGAGGAGGCTGTGATGAAGAGGTGAAATGAGGGTTTCTGGTTTCGTGGCTAACTTTGACTGCCTTCTATTTTGCTTTTTTTTTATTTATTTATTTTCTGCCTTTAAAACTTGATGCGTAATGGTCCCAAATAGCATGAGCGATATACGCTATTGCCTCGATTGTGTGCCTCGTCCTAAAAAGAGCCATATAAAATCGAGAGGCAAAGAGTAGAGAGAGTAGTGAAGGGTACAAATATAATTGGAAGGGACGGTGAGTAGTAATAGAGGACGGTGAATAGTAATTCAGTTTTTTAACGCTATAGCGCGATTTCAAGTGCAAATTAATCATGACCCGTGTGATGCATAAGAAGATGTAATTTTCTAAAAAAAAATTAATATTGAATATTAAATAAATGGACTTGGAGTCTTGTTATATTTGTAACAAATGTAAAGGGGTCGAATAAATTAAAAAAATTATAAATTATTGAATACTTTTTTGTAAACAACGTTTTGGTTTGATTTGGTGCAAGTCATCGTCACCACAGACTAATAACTTAAATAATTTTAGCATATGGGTTCGATAATAATAAATAAAAAATGACAAAAAAAATATTTACCAATTCATCATGGAAATTTATTTCCAGCACATTTTTTTATTTGACTTCGACTTTTCTTTCAAATATACGAGTAACCCTTAATTTCAAGTATGGCTATTTTTTCGGGAAACCGACTTAAAAAAACACTACGCGAATGATATATTGTAGGATGGAAAAAATGAAATTAGTCAGATTTTATATATTAGGGATTGAAAAAAATGCTAAAAGATGTGGTAAATGATTTGTGTAATTGACTATTTATATAGATGTCATAAATTATTTGTGTTAAATGAGATATATGGTTCTAATTAAAAAAAATCATTCAAGATTTGTGATTTTTTTGTTCGGTCCAACTTATTTTGCGATATGATAATAATGAATCTTTTAAATCAGATAACTTTTTTTAAAAAAAAAAAAAAAATAGCCACTAAAGGATTAAAAGAATAGGAATGTGGGCTTTTCACTTAAAGGCCCACTCATAACCAAGCTTAATAGAAGGCCACGATGTAAAGCCCTAAACCTCTAGTTTTTCTACATCCAAATTCAATCGGGCATCCGCATGGCTTCGACACTTCTCCGCCGCCGTTATTCTAATTTCCTCAGTCGTGTTTCCACCGGAATGGGGAATCCTAGTAGCAATTCAGGCGCTCCATATCATTACGAGCAGAGGAGGATGTGCACCCTACGTTCAACGCCACGAACACCATTGCTAGTGTTACCACCTGTCTCCAATGGCGGCAACTTGATTTACAGGTTCTATAACCCGGCGGCGGAGCGAATCGAGAGCGTCAGTGCTCCTGTCAAGCATGGATCGGACTTACTCGAGTCCGAAATCGTGGGATCGTCCCACGGCTGGCTGGCCCTGTTCAACCTCCGCAACAACTCTATTGTTCTATCAAATCCGTTCACCCACCGCCAAATCAATCTCCCGCCCGTCCACACCTTGCCCGACCCGGAGATCAACCTGACCGACGGCCGCGGTCGCGTGTCTAAAGTCGTGCTCTCGTGCTGCCCAGACGAGGACGAGGAAGGTTGCCGCGCCGTCATGTCCTACGGCCCTGGAGAGAGGCTAGCTTTCTGCCGGCCTCGCCGCTGCACTGAATGGTCCCCTATGGAAGACTCGTTCTTCGACGGCTACAAAGAGGAAATTCGAGACTACGGGGTGGATTATGCAAGGATTTATGAGGATTTTACATATTGCCCCAAGCGTGAAGTGTTTAACTGCACAACGCAGTTTGAGGTTGATCTGGAGGACTGGAGCATTGCCGTTCCAACTCAATTCGAGGTTTGGGATCTTCTTTCTGACCCTCACTCCTTCAAATCCAAAACCAAGAGTATCTACTGGCACTTGATAGATATAAAAGGCCCAAAATGCCCATGGATAGAGGAAAATATGGATATTGTCAAGACCTGCAGGCAAATCCCGTACCTTGTGAATGACAATCATGGAGATCGAGATCGGCTCTTTCTGGTGATTCGATTTGTCATCCAACGAGCCTGCATTAACCGACCTTTTGCGGATGTCGACAGCATACCTTACGATCCGGTGAGTGACCGCTTGATGGTCCATCTCTATCCCCACAAAACTATCGGTTTTTCGGTTGTTGAAATCCATTTTGAAACGAGACCAGCTAATGGCCGCATCAATGGCCTCAGTCGGATTGTTGGTGGTTGCGGCAATTCCTTGGATGGCCTGGCAATGTTTATAGGAATGAACCACTCGTTTGTAGTGTCATCAGCGGCTGACTCGGGTTTGAAGCCCAATTGCATTTACTTCACCGATTCCAACAAGCATCAGGTTCCGTTAGATTCCATCTATGGCGGCCATGACATAGGGATTTTTGATTATGAGAACAAGACTTTGTCTCCATGCTATTATCCATGTGATGTTCGAAGCTATAGAGGAATTGTGCCAACACCGGTGTGGCTCACTCCAAGTGCACATTAAAGACTTGAATATCTTCTCATCTATGGATATAAAATAACAATAGGATTTACTTTAACTAAGAAAGTAAAACTCCGCCCAGAAATTTGGATTTATTACAATTATAATTTTTTGAAATTCTTGGCGATTGATTTGCAATTTGAATTTCAAATTCATTCAAATATTTAAAGTAAAATATCATAAGCAGATTTTTTTTTGATACATTTCATTTTATCTTAATTTACATATAATTTCATACCTAACAAACATTAAATTTTCTTATATATTTTAAAATTAATTACAACAATAAATAATATTAATATACATTGAATATTTATCATTATATAAAAAAAATATTACTTCTATAAATGTTATACATAATAATGACATTATACCTCAACAGATTGATATATATCATAAATATAAAAAAAAAAATATAATATTAATATTCAAAAGTATTTTTAGAATAATCAATATTATGTAACGGTTTTACAGGTTGTTTGGTTGGGGGAAATGGAGGGGAGGGGAGGGGATAGAAAATTATAATTTTCCTTTGTTTGGTTTATAACTTAGGAGGGGAGGGGAGGAGAAATTTTAAGTCAAAATCCCTCCCCTCTAGCAATTTTGCTCCCCTCCAAAGGTGGGGAATTTGGAGGAGAGGAAAAATTTTAAAAGCTAAAATTACTCTTATGTCCTTCATATGCGAATTATTTTAATTTTTTGTTTCTTATTTCATTAAGAGTATAACTGTCATTTTTACAATATTTTATTTCTCTTACATTTTTCTAACCACGGTATATCATTTTCCCTTCACTCCCTCCCTACAAAATCCCCCAAATAAGATAAAATTATTTTACATCACCTCCCTCTCCTCTCCGTTGAACCAAACATAGTCTTAATTTATAAGACTACGTTTGTTTGGAGGGATTTAAAATCATTTGATTTCAAAATTTTTGAAATATTAATTTTTTACTTGCAATGAAAGTGTTGAAAATATTATAAATCAATTGTCTAGCTCGCACCGATGGTGTTGACTCGCGGTGGTGATGAACCTGAATGATCGCGGACGACGTGGTCGTCAACGTGATAAACATTGAATTTCATATGACTAGGTTTGATGAGTTATTTAAAATCTTTCAAAATAATGACTAAAAAATATATAGCATGAATTTAAAATCTTCCAACTTCCATTGTCATCTCAAACATATATAAGGATTTGAACTTGTAAATTTAAAATTTTTATATTTCAAATCTCTCCATAAATCCTTCAATTCAAACATAGCCTGAGTTATCATTATTTTTTCGTATCTATATATAATAAGATTTACCATTTATCAAAAATGGCAAGTCTCTGTGATCAAATTCAGATATAATTAAATAGTTTCTATTTATGGCATTTTTTTTTTGATATATTTCACGTAAAGGATAAATTAATTGCAGTTCAAATGAATTTGTTGCATTATGCGGGCAAACAATTAGGGACTTAATTTTTGGGAAACAAATCATCCCTTATATGAAGGGATTTACTACTTCAAAATCTGGAATTGTTTCACTTTTGTAAAACTCTTTTTTTTTTTTTAGTTNGCTGAATATTTTTTTAAAAATGTTCAAAGTAAAACAGAGTTGATTATTCTCAAGAGTCTTTAAAGCTGATCCATATCAAAAATAATATTTCTGGTGTTATCTTATATTACCATAAAAAACATGTGCAATCAAGTCTGATGATATAAATAAAAAATAAACTAACTTTGAACAAAAATTAAGATAGATAGCCTATTCATAAACAATTAATGAAAAACAAACAAACCAAATTTATGTCGAAACATTACAATTTTTATTTAAAAAAATATAGAAATTATTAAGGAAAAGTTTACGTTTATTTACAGTCTTATTTTGATTTATTTGATGGTCAACCTAATAATTATTGTATGTAATTTTTTTTTTTATTTGGAAAAAATTGTGAAATATGGAATATGAAATAAGAGGGGATGTGGAATATGAAATTAGAGGGAATCATTAAATTATGTTTCTATCTATAAATTATTCAACTCACTATTAAGGAAGTTACATGATTCAAACTAAAAACATGTTTTATTAGTGTAGCTGGGAATATAAAATAACTATCTACATAAAATAGGATTGAAAAAGTTTTAAACTTGGAATAAAATATAATTTATAATATAGTTAGATATAAGAAAAGTTGTCCAAGTGTGGGACAATTTTTTCGATGACAGCAATGAGCATCCGCAGCCTATGAGAGAAACCCAGCAAGGGAGCCCAGTTGTGTGAGGCACAGTTTTGTAGCCCTTTGTGCAGCTCGTGTCCGACCCGTGCCTCACAAGTTACTCAATAATCAAACTCATAATTTTGTGTACACAAATTTTTTTAATAATATAAGATTTTTTCGTGACGAATATTTATAATTAAATAATATTTATATATATTAAATTTTCGTATATCCTAAAATTATAATATTCTCTAAATTTATGTACTCTGTACTCCGGGATAGGGTGAAAAAGGTGCTCCTTTTCAATTAAAGATATTGTGAGTCTGTAACGTGGTTTACTTGACAATCAGAAGAGAGAGCGTTTGTTTCTTCCTTTATTTGGTATTTTGGTTTCGCATGTGAACCCCAGTCGCAGCAAATTCAGATTTCAGAAAATTTCCATTTTATAAATTGTAATTGTCATCTAAACATGGCCTTATCTTCTTCTTCGTCCTCCGCCTCCACAGCTTGCAGAACTCAAACCTACCTCCCGTTCAATCGCCGTTCATATTCGCTCCTCCCATTCAATTTCAACAGCGTTAGGCCTTTCTGCTCCTCCGATTCGCGTCGGCATCCAATCGTTTGCAATCTCACCAAGATGGCGGCGACGGCGGTCGAAAAGGAACTCGAGACGGAGCTGGCGGTGGCGGAGACTTCGCAAAGGCCGGATTCGTTCGGTAGATTTGGAAAATTCGGCGGAAAGTATGTACCCGAAACACTTATGTATGCTCTGACGGAGCTTGAGGCTGCCTTCAAATCTCTTGCCACCGATCACGAATTTCAGGTTTTGCCTCTTTATGTCTTTGGTCGAAAGGTCAAAACTTTGTGGTTATTCTTAATGCGAGTTGGATAAAAAAGAAAATAAAAAAGGATTTTTTTTGCTAATTCATGGATTCACACGGGCTGCATAGCATTTGTGTGATTAGCATTATCCAATTAAAGCGATGCATTCTGTTAACTTTTTGGTGGTGTGAGTTGTTTGACCTGCAGTTGCTAAATGTTAATATTAGCGGTCGTCATCCAGCCAAATTTTGTTACCTTGTGATGGATAAATATTATTGCAACCATCTGTTAGGATCTTAAGTTAATGTAAAGACCGTTTCTTGATGTATACTTGTATAGGACGTGATGTGTGCTAGTAATATAGGACTTTCGTGGCTGGAGATTTTCGTCCCCTTAAGGCATCATCAATGGACCTGACATTGGGAAAGAGTGGAATCATAGTTAGTGCAAATTAGAGTGTAGCTTGTTAGAGAATGAAGCTTTAGAAAAGTACAGCTGTTGGAGTGTTCAATCATATTGTGTGCAGATGTTAGTCTTTTTAGTCGTGCATATGCATGTTTAGTTAGCTAATTAGTTGGTATCAGTGTCACTTTTATTTTCGCTGTTTGTCTTGCTAGAGTCGCATTTCTTACTTAAAGAAAATGTCTTTTATTTTCCTGTGGAAGTAGATAGGAGCACGTGTGTTTCTGTAACTGGCTTTCGCAGCCTTCAGGTGAGACGAGCATGACTAAATAACTGCATGCTTCGTCTTCCTCAAAATGACTTGGAATATTGAATAAGAAAATCTTAGAAAGTTCCCAAACCTTCAACCTTCTCTGAGTAAGATGTGTCCAGTTCGATAGCACTACATTGTACCAGAGCAGGATAGGATTAATGAGTGGCGTGCAACGAGGAAATAGGAAAAGAGAACGCGATCACCAGGCACACCTACATGCATGACTCAGATCCTCTCACACTTCATGGTTCAGATAATCCGGGCATGGTGCTTGTGAGCAATAAGCTCAGTGGTTCGAATTACTTACACTGGAGTTACGCGATGAGGCTAGCTCTTGGAGTGAAATCGAAGCTAGTTTTTGTTTATCGAACTGTGGAGATTCCAGATCCAAGCCCATCGGAGTATGAACAGAAAGTCGAATTTATGGTGATCTCGTGGCTGTTAAACTCCATTTCAAAGGAAATCGTCGAAGCCTTCTTTCATCTACGCGAAGAGCTCGAAGAAGCTTTGGGACGAATTAGGAGAGAGATATGGTGAGAGCAATGATGGTCTTCGATACCAATTGCAAGAGGAGATTGCGAATTTTTTCCAAGGTAATCTCACAGTATATTGCCCAAAGTTAAAATGCCTGTGGTGTGGGATGAGTATGCATGTTTGGTATCCATACCTAATTGCACTTGTGGATTCTGGAAAGCTTTCTCTGAAAATGCCATAGAAATTAAACTAATGCAATTTCTAATGCGGTTGAGTGATGCTTATGAACCTGTGTTAGAAACCAGATATCACTAATGGATCTTTTGCCAACAATAAACAAAGCTTACTCGATTATTTTAAAGGTGGAGAAACAGAAATCCATGCATACTATATGACCTCAGATCCTCTATAAAATTCAATAATGATGGTGAGGGGAAATTTTGGAAGAGGAGGAGGCCGTATGAACAATTATGGTAGAAGAAATGATAGAAGAGGACAACCAAATCAGGGTTTTAACAACTCAGGAAGGGGAAAAGGGAAAAATAGGCTCTCCAATGAAGAAAGGGAAAAATTTTTCATTGATCATTATGGCTACAATAGACATTAGTTCCTAGGATGCTAAAGTTGAGTGGTATCATGAGTGGTACAAACTTACAAAGAGTTGAAAATCCAGAAGACAAATTAATTTGCTAATATGTTAGACAGTGAATAAACAAATGATAAACTTGCAGAAATAGGTACATATATGTGCAAAAGACTGTAGTCACCTTTGCATTTTAATGATTTCTCAAGTAATATAATGCATTTTGGGCTCTCATTGTTGAATGGTTTTGAAAATACAAGTTGGATTGTGGAGCTAGCAAACACATATGTTGCAATGAGGATCTAATTAGTAACTGAGTTGATTATCAACTCATATTGAATTTACCAAAAGGAGCAAAAATTGAAGTGGAAAAGTTTTGGGAGATTAAGTTGAATGATCAACTTACTCTAAAAATTGTGCTTGTTACAAAATTTAAATATAATTTACTTTTAGTGAGTAAGCCAAGGTTAAAGAAGAGGTAGTTTGCACCTTTACTGAATGGGTGTTGGTTGTAGGCCCAAAAAGGCAACAAAATGATGAGAATAGGAAAGGCATATGGATGCTTGTATGTTATAAGATCAGAAGAGCATATGTCCAACTAGGTGGATGAAGAGAAAAGTAAAAGTCAAGAGTTACAACTATGGCATAAGAGATTGGTCACACTTCTCTCATGCCTGAAACATATAGATTCCTTAAGAGGTTCTGGTTTGAAACAAAATACAAAGTTTTGAGATATATGCCATAAATCTAATCAGTTTCGTTTGTCTTCCTTTAAGCAACATTAAGACAGAAAGTATATTTGATCGTGTTTATATTGACATCTGGGGCCTTATCATGAGGAATCTGTGTCAAACACTTCCTACATGCTTACAAATGTGGATGATAAAAGTAGAGCAACATGGAACTTGATGAGATATGAAACTCAGACATACTCTCACATTAATTTTTTTTTCTGAAAAAGCAAATTGCGGTAAAAGTGCAATTGAAAGAAAGGTCAAGCAAATAAGAACTGACAATGGTTCTGAATTCATTGGAGCTAAGATGAGGAGCATTCTAAGGGAAAAAGGTTCACTACAGAATGGAATAGTTGAGTGAAGGCACATCTTGGAGATTGCAAGGTATATTATGCTTCAACGAAATTTGTAAAGGAAGCTTTAGCCTTATACTTTGTTTGGAGTAGTACATATTCTGAATTCATTGTCCTTGCTCAATGAGACATCGTTATGAAGGAAATCACCGTACAAATTACTCTATGGGAAAACACCACAGATTAAGGTGTTTGGTTGCTCGGGTTATGCTTCAAGGAATGATCCACATAGAAAGAAAATTGATCACCAAGCTATACCTTGTGTGTTTTTGGGATATGTTGGGGGAGTAAAAGGGTTCAGGATGTATGATATTGAAACTGAAGAGATTTTTTTATATGTTGTTTCCGATGAAACTGTTTTTCCTTTTCAAGAAAGATCACACATAGTTAACAAGTGACTACTTCCCTTAAGCGTTGATGAAAAAGTGATGAGACATTGTCATTAAAGGATACCACAGAGAAGAGCACAATTGTTGTTGATCTGAGAAAGAGAAAAGATCTAGGAAACCACCTGTTTGGATGAGCCATTATGTGGCTCAACCAGGACACACTGAGACCTGAGACAGAACGGCACGATGTAGTGTCATTTATGAGAAAATAAGGAAAACACAAGAAGCGCCATCATACTATGGCAGGACAACAACTGGGTATTGGCTATGCACAAGGAATTGGAGGCACTTGAGGCTAATGAGACTTGGGTATTGATACCTCACACCTTTATCACCAACGAAAAGGCCATGGGATCAAAATGGGTATACAAAATGAAATGGAACCTGATGGTACTATAGATAAGTACAAAGCTAGACTTGTTGCTAAGGGGTACTTGCAAGGTGATGGTGTGGATTTTGTGGACACCTTCTCACCTGCACCCAAGCTAGTCACTGTAAGGTTCTTAATTGCCTTGACCACTAAGCACAAATACCCTTACATGTGGATATAAACAGTACTTTTCTACATGGACATCTTGATGAGGAGGTGTGTGTTGCGACAAGGATAAGAGGCAAAGAAAGGGAAGGTGTGTTTGTTAAAGAAAAGTTTGTGTGGTTTGAGACAAGATCATGGGAATGGAACTTAGATTTTTTTGATAAATTGTTGGTCTATGGATTCATACAATCCTCAAATGAAAACTGCCTATTGAATATTTGTTATTAAATTAACTAAAATGTTCTTAGCACTTACCATATATGTGGATCATGTGCTAATTATTAAGCACTTTGTTGGAAATTCAACAACTTTAAAATTATTTGCTTTAGATCGTTCACCATAAAGGATCTTGGAATAATAGGGCTTGATTGTTTATGAATTATTTCATTCCCATTTATTTCATACTTAAATCTAACTCAACTTTAACTCAACCCCACTATCTTTAATATTATTCATATAATTAAATGATACAAACCAATCATTTTTACACATCACATCAATTTCAATTCACTGTTGATCCACTCACATAATTTTAACTACCAATCATTTCCAATCACTGAGAAGTCAAGCTCAAGCTTCAGGCCCCACCAATATGGACTAATCAGATCTTCATTCAGGCGAGCACACAGAAGGGCCAACTACATTCCAATTCTCCTTGAAGAAAAAAGCGTGTAGACCATCGGGGCTTCAGGCTCGATTACATTGACCTCAGATCTCCTACTTTTACATCAAATCAATATTAAGATTTTATTTTAAATATTATTATAATACATTCTTAAAATTTCACTAACAACTAACCATACCACCTTTTTCAAAATTAACTATGGTTAACCAAAATAATTCATTTTGAACAAATTATTTCATAAACAATCACCCCCTAAGTTTTTTTTTTGGCCTTGAGATTATTCCCTCATCTCAATCAAAGGAAATATATGCTTGACATGATTCATGACATGAGATTATAAAATTTGCAGGAGCATGGTTACACATTTCCCACAATGGTTAAACATCTCGGTGCAAAGTGATAAACCAATGGTTGATTAAGAAAACTATAGGAGTTTTGTGAGAGATTACTATACCTCAATTTATCCAGACCACATGTGTCCTATGGTGTACAACAATTGAGTCAATTTGTTACAAATTCATTTGAATCTCATTGGGGAGTAGAGATACTCCTGTAGAAATATCTCCTCCTTGGGATTGTGTTGTGTGACAACATGGCAGCCTTGCACACATGAGAGGACCAAACACCTTTACATTGATTGGCAAGTTGTGAGGAACAAATATAAGGACACATAGTTTTAAATGGCGTCGCCATGGCGGGAGGCGACCGAGGCGGAGGTAAGATTGCCTCGCCTCTGCCGAAGGCGGCCCCGTCGCCGAGGTGGCCGTCTCGCGACGCCTCTCTCTCGCCATTTAGAAATAAAAAGGAAAAATTGGGCTCCTCCCCAAACTAGGGCTTTTGCGAAAGAAATTCCTAAGCTTCTCATCTGAAAATTGTAGAACCCTAGGCCGACTTATCCCCGTCTCTACTTCTTTTTCCTTTTTATTTATTTTCTTACTTCATTTATGTTTACTAGTATGGTCAACAATCGAGTCAGAGGTAGTTCTTTCATTTACTTTTACTTTACACTTTTTATTTACTTCTTTAACATTTTTTTTCTATTCTATATTATTACACAACATAAATTAAATATTTTTTTTATTTCTAATACTGTTAGTATTCACATTTAAATATTAGATGCTATTAGTAATCACATTTAAATTTAATATATTTTATTTTCCTTGAGGACATTTAAGGTTATTTTTGGCGATTAAACTTAAATATATGATATCACAATATATTATTTTTTCTAAACTTTGATGGCTTGTATATTATTTTTTCTAAACAAGGCTTGTGTTGCCGAGGCCTCGCCATGGCGAATCGCCTCGTCTCGCCATTTACAACTATGTAAGGAAGGCTTCATTACTCCTCAGCATATTTCATCTTCTCTGCAGCTGGCGGCTGTGCATGTTTAGTTAGTTAATTAGTTGTAATTAGTGTGGCTTTTATTTTCGTTGGTCGCCTTGCTAGAGTCGTGTTTCTTACTTAAAAGAAATGTCTTTTATTTTCCTGTGAAAGTAGATAGGGTTACGTGTCTTTTTGTAACTAGCTTTCCCATGAGATTAGCATGAGTATATACCTGCATGACGTCGTTTTCCTCAAAATGACTTGGAATATTGAATAAGAAAATCTGAGAAAATTTCCAAACTTCTCTGAGTAAAATGTATTCAGTTTGCTAGCTCTACAAATACAGTGCAAAATCATACAATATTAGAAGTTGTAAGACGACAGCCTTTGACAGGAAGATCTTTTCAAACCATTCTTGAGGAGATCTAGACTTGTTAAGCCTCTATCCTCATATACCATAGTGCCATTGGCGGAATATAGTATATGTCGATGCCCTACTTCATATCTCTACCTAGAATATATGGTGTTTTTGTTATCATGGTTTGTCACTGACTTGGGTTAATTGCAGAAAGAGCTGGATGGAATTCTGAGGGATTATGTTGGAAGAGAAACCCCTCTTTACTTTGCAGAAAGGCTCACAGAGCACTACAAACGACCTGACGGTAAAGGGCCTCTCATATACCTCAAAAGAGAAGACTTGAATCACACTGGGGCCCACAAAATCAACAACGCCATAGCGCAAGTTTTGCTTGCAAAGCGTCTTGGCAAGTTGCGTATCATTGCCGAAACAGGGGCTGGTCAGCATGGTGTTGCCACAGCCACCGTTTGTGCTCGGTTTGGCTTGCAGTGTGTTATCTACATGGGTGCTCAAGATATGGAGAGACAAAAGCTCAATGTCTTCAGAATGCGTCTTCTTGGCGCGGAGGTCTGTTCACTTCGAAGCTTTCAATCATCACTATTCACTAATTTTACATGCTTTTCTGATCCACGGACTTTATGGTTTCTCATGAATTAGAAATATCTTAGAAATATGTCCCATGAATGAGACTACTTCCATTTCTCTTGATTTTGTTGCCCATCTTGAAATATGTCATCATCGTTATCATATATTAATATCCATACTTTTTTCAATTTTTTTTTTCTTCTTTCGTAATTCGACATGCAGGTTAGACCAGTTCACTCAGGGACTGCAACCCTGAAGGACGCCACATCCGAAGCTATACGCGATTGGGTCACCAACGTGGAATCTACTCATTACATACTCGGATCAGTTGCCGGGCCCCATCCTTACCCTATGATGGTTAGGGAGTTTCATGCTGTTATTGGTAAGGAAACTAGGAAGCAGGCCTTACAAAAATGGGGGGGAAAGCCCGACGTGCTTGTTGCTTGTGTTGGCGGAGGATCTAATGCCATTGGGCTCTTTCATGAGTTTGTGGAGGACAAGGACGTTAGGCTCATTGGTGTTGAGGCTGCTGGTTTCGGCTTGGACAGTGGCAAACATGCAGCCACTTTGACTAAAGGAGAGGTCGGGGTCTTGCATGGAGCAATGAGTTACTTGTTGCAAGATGCGGATGGGCAGATAATCGAGCCACATTCAATAAGTGCTGGGTAAAGGGAAATATGTATTTTTTATTTTGGATATAAAGATCAATTTATGTTCTTGCAATCGTCTTGTTTTACAATTTTTTATTGTTTTTTTTTTTCCCCTTTTTGTGGGTTATATAGGCTGGACTATCCTGGAGTTGGCCCGGAGCACAGCTTTCTAAAGGATATTGGGCGGGCCGAGTACTATAGCATCACTGATGAGGAGGCTTTAGATGGTGAGGACTGATGTCTATATATTCTATATGGTTGTCCTTGCTGCCTCTTTTTTTTTTTCTTCGTCTGTCTGAGTCTTCCCAGTTGGGTTTCCATTATCTTTTACATGCATTGCTGTTTGGTCATAGTGTGGAATAATAATAATTGTTATAAAATATAGCTTTAGTCTGATTAGATATATAAAATAAACCCCATTACCTTGTGAAATAAATTTGTCCCATCGAGATCTGTTCATTCTTGACTAATGCCCCCATCAAAAGGATTGAATTTATGAAATAGTAACAAATATCAAGACGACACCACCTGGAGTTCTGTGCGTGTTTGTGATAATTGAACTGCAATTGCATTTCCTTATCAACAGTTTGCCCTTTCACTTGTCCCCAGAGAATTTTGAATCATCAATGCATCATTTTTGATAATACTGAAACTTATATTCACACTCGTGAACTTGATTAGCTTATCAATCTATCTTTTATGTGCAGCTTTTAAGAGACTGTCTAGACTAGAGGGGATTATCCCTGCACTAGAGACATCTCATGCACTGGCTTATCTCGAGAAGCTGTGCCCTTCTCTTCCGGATGGGGCCAAAGTCGTCCTGAACTGCAGTGGCAGAGGAGATAAAGACGTTCAGACGGCCATTAACCATTTAAAGCTCTGAAAGCTATACATGCCATCCCTAATATATCACATGTTTCTGATTTTCGAGAGAGATTTGGCTGTTGCAATGCGTTCCCCTCATTGACCAGTTTTTTTCTGTTTAAATAGAGATGTAAACCGGAAACAATTTACCAGCAAGCACTGAGAGACTCATTATAGTTTATGTATAATAACTTAGACTTCAGATTGTGGAAGAGATTAAAGTCCCTAAAAGTCTAGCTATGGTCCATAAATAGGGCATTTACTTTACCTATTCGGAGTTAAATGTATTATTATCATTGTTGATAACCTCTTATCAAAGATTCATAAACGTAGTGAAATTTTTGTTTACAATCAGATTGGCGGGATGACCTCCCTGTAATGTGTTATCACTCGTCAATATTGAAATCTTTTCAGTTGATTATGTAGTTTTTAAGGCAAGCTTAAATAGGACTTACCTGTTATGTGTTTTCACTTCATTCTGGAAATCTTTTCAGTTGATTATCTAGTTTTTATAGCAAGCTTACAGTCTTGTGCCCCATTAATCTGTTGTCGCTTCATTCTGGAAATCTTTAGTTAATTATATTGTTTTTAAGGCAAGCTTAGAAAATCTTGTTATGGTACGATTGTTGTTAGAGGCTATCTGGGTGAACAATTAATGATTTTTCTGATATTAAGAACCTGAAAAAATCAAAGAAAGAAAAAGAGGTTGTGTTGAGTTAAGACATCTTATCACGATGAGTGATCGACCCACACACACTTCGACTGAGTCTTCATTCCCAGAAAACAAATGGCCAAGCTCGCCATTATTTATGAGTACAACTTTTTCAAAATTCTCTAGGTATACATAACAAGAATCACACCATTGCATGAAAACCTAATTCAACTAAATAGAATAGGATAGATAGAAAGAGGTCCACAGAAACTCATTATTATTATCTACAGGTAATGCCGCTGTTCCACTCTAATAGCCACGCACAAATTTATCTAATCATATCCTTCAAGCAAGCACAAATCTTCATACTTTGTGTCCGTCTGTGCTGCTGGACTTCACTCGACTTCCTACTTGCATGTTCTTCATTGCTTCGCCTGTAAAATGTATGTAGGTAAGCTTGGTAAGGCCACAAAGCTAAGATGACAAGTACACGAGTCATTGGAGTCGATGCACTCAACAGAAGGATAAATAGAAACCTTTCTTGAAAAAAAAAAAAGAAGAAGAAGAAGAAGAAGAAGAAGAAAAGAAAGAAAGCGTAGACGAAATGTAAACATAAGCCTGATTGGGGTGCCTTTTTCCGATAACAGACCTAAGATATGGAGTTTTTTACATTGCAGGATAGCTCCTTTCGATTACCTCTCATCCAATCCAACTCTAGCAAGAAAGGTACTCATGCCCGAAATAAGGACAAGACACTATTCAATAATTTGACATATAAATAATCATGAAGTTAGTTCTCCTTTTGTTTCCAAATAAGTTCACCTGAGAAATGACTTGCCGTGTGATAGAACCTAACAGAAGTTGGGAATCAAAACTCAAAAGCTCATAATGTTTGGCCACAACTAGTTATAACCATGCTCGGCATTATAAAAGTTCTTCTATTTTTTTTTATTTTTTTTTTATTTTTTTGTAAACGTCAAACCAGAAGCAAACACATAAACCCAAGGTACTATCACTCAGGCAATGATTTGTACCCATGCAACGTGAGATAGTTGCCATCAGTTTGTGTAATTCAAAGCTTTTACAGACACGTATCAGACAGGGTTATCAAACGACAAAAAACCAGAAAAGGCAAGAATTAGCAAATTACCTGAGAATATAAGAAAGTTCCAAGAATGGCAATTGCTGCTCCGAGAGCATTGACAGGTTGAACAGGTGTCTGGAAGATAATGATAGACGAGACAATGACCGAAATACGCTTCATAGTGTTTCCTATGCTAAATGTCAAAGGAGAAATCTCATCCAGTGACATGTAAGACACCTGATTGTAGAGATGGTAAAATATACTCTGGGCCGCCATCCACCTATGTGCAAATATCAACCACACAAAAACATAACCAGATGAAAACAATACACATGCACACACAAAAAAACAAAAGAAATAAAGGAGAAAAGAAAATAAAAGAAGAAAGAATCCAAAACATGAAAACAAGGCAGAAAAATATACATGACTGTTACCTTAAATCCAACATAGGGTCTAAATAACTAAAATATCAAGTAACTTTCAAGATACAATGGCAAATTATATTACAATATCGGATCATCAATTTGATTTCATGATTTTGCTGAGTTCATTATCTTGTAGCACATAATATAAATCACTTATTTACAAATACATATCCAATTGGGTAGGTGCATCCATCCTAATAATCATGAGAAAGATCAACAAAGCAATTTGTGCATATTGGTTCATATGTATGCATAAGAGAATGTATTATAGAATAAAGTTATACAAGCCAAAACACAGGACCAAAGAAAGAAAAATCAGGGTGGGTAGTCTGGTAATTACCACACAATCTGGGGTCCAATTTGAGACAAGGCATCTTTAAAACCTGCTGCCCATAGCTGTGGTCCCTCCACAGCAAATGCAAATGGAGTGAGAATTAAGAGAGACATGATGGACAAGCAGGCATAATAGTTCATTCCGCTGACCGAATTCCCCTTCATGCCCCTCTTGGAAAATATATTCCGAAAAACAAATGCCAAATTCGAGATCATGGCCCCCATAAAACCTGATGTTGACACCAAACAAACCACCACATGAGCATATCACAGAAAACATGTATTTCCCATTAACACCCCTAAAAAGACTACATTTTTTGTTTTTTTGTTTTGTTTTTTGGCAACCAAACAGCCCAAAGATTGGTAAGGCTCGGCTCAACTACTTGAACAAGAAACATGTGATCCGATCAAATTGCTAATGGAAAAGGGTAAATTTCATCCCTGAAATATAAAGCTACTAATGAACTGTTACCAATCATGTTGAAGTTAAGTTCGGTGAGAGCTGCCAGACCACACCCGCCGATAATAGGAAGAAGGGACAGATACACCGATGGCGGAAAAGTCTCTCCCAGTATGAATCTTGAAACCAAGACACTAAAAGCAGGCTCACCACTCTTTATTATGTGCGTAAATGAAACTGCCACCTTAGACATACTCACAGTAGCCGCAACATGCCCAATTGTATGCGCAACAGCAACCTAAACTCCACACACCCAAACAAACATCGAGAAAAAATTAAAGCTTCGATCTTTCAGTGGAAAACAGCAACAAAAATGAAAATTCATTGAAATATCGTAAAATTTAAGAAACTTAGATGTTAAAACCCTAAAAAACGATTAGCCCAGAACAAAAAATTTTTAACAGAAAAATTAAAATTATGTTAGAAAATTTGACTAGAAAACAAAATAGCAAATTTGACAAAACAAAACCCCAGATCGCAGAAAATGAGCTAAACTAAAACCCTGAAAAATTCTCACCGGGAAAAGGGATTTCCAGAAATCGAGATCAGTCTTTGGAGTCTCCGCAATTCTGAGCGCCCAAGAAATCAACATTATTAGCGAACCAGCGGCCAACGACAGCGTCGAGGTTAGCCAGGGAAAAGGATACGCATTTAGCACCTTCTTGTTGTAGATGTTGAAGATCACGTTCAAGCCCCACCACGTAGCGAAATAGATCCCGATCTTCAACCTCCTCGCCGACTCCGCCGCCGCCGCCGGCTGCTGACCGATCGGCTCCGATCGGTCGGCCTCAAAAGCCCCGCGCGTGATCATAGATCGCTCATCCTTGTCTCTACTGTTCGAGAACCCCACCACCACCCTCGAAATATGGAGCGGCCTAGAGAGAGAAACGGCGGAGCTCCCGCGGGTTTTCTCCGCCGCCAGAGGATGCAAAGCCGGCGAGCGCCGGCCGACGGTCTTCCTCATCCCGTGGAGAAAATCCGAGCCATGGATTGGCTGAGATGGCAGCTTGACAGAAGATATCATAGCAGTAACAGTAGCAAAAATCAGAAAAAATGATAAAAGTAAAT